CGACAGGGGTGGCGCCTAGGTTTACCGAAAGGATACGGACGAACAGCCAGATGAAGAGATACCCAGGGAGAGGTCTGGAAGGGTTGCAGGCACCAGAGTTCCTGAGGAGCTGGTGTACATCTCCTCTCCTTCCTGGGGTGCACGTGTTCACCGGTCTGAAAGCCCTTGGAACCCCTTCCTGTTGGGATTTTGTGGGGACTTTGTCACACAGGTGAGATGAATCAGGGACTCTGTTTCCAGCCCGTCTCTGCTCTCTGGAGGATGGGCGCTGGGCCTGAGAATTCTAAACTTCTAATCCCGGCTTGGGATTTCTGGTGACCAGTCCCTCCCAGGAGCCATGCAATGTCCTCTATGCTGCTAGTGTTCATATCATTTAGGAGATGACAAGGGTTTTAAAACTTTTTTTTTTTTTTAATGTTTTCATTTTTGAGAGACAGAGACAGACAGCACGAGTGGGGGAGGGGAACAGAGAGAGAAGGAGGCACAGAATTCGAAGCAGGCTCCAGGCTCCCAGCTGTCAGCACGGAGCCTGATGCGGGGCTCGAACCCACAAACCGCGAGATCATGACCGGAGCCAAACTCAGACGCTTAAATGACTGAGCCACTCAGGTGCCCCTGAAACTACAAGCGTTCGAGAAGCTTTGTGCCAGGAGCTGGGAGTGGAGACCAAGATATATTTCTTCTGTTATCTTACGTTATTACATACCCACCAGAATGGATACAATTTGAAAGGCCACACAGTATATTAACAAGTACGTATGACCAGAATTCTCAAATATTATGGGGGAAGTAGAAAATGGCACAAGTGGGGCGCCTGGGTGGCGCAGTCGGTTAAGCGTCCGACTTCAGCCGGGTCACGATCTCGCGGTCCGTGAGTTCGAGCCCCGCGTCGGGCTCTGGGCTGATGGCTCGGAGCCTGGAGCCTGTTTCCGATTCTGTGTCTCCCTCTCTCTCTGCCCCTCCCCCGTTCATGCTCTGTCTCTCTCTGTCCCCAAAATAAATAAAAAACGTTGAAAAAAAATTAAAAAAAAAAAAAAAAGAAAATGGCACAAGCACCTCAGAAAAATCTTTGATAGTCACTTAAGGGCACACCTACCCCGTAAGTCAGCAAATTCTATTTCTTGTTATTTACTTAAGATAAGAGTGTCCTCAGAAAGACTTGCATGTGAAGGTTCATGAAAACTCAATTTATAATGGCCCTCCAACTGGAAACCACCCAGGTATCCCGTGATGGAAGAATGGATAATATGTGGCATGTTAATCAGTGAAATACTTTTCAACAACCAAAAGGAACAAAGTACTGAGGCTCGCAGCCTGCTTGATGAATCTTCAGAAATGCTGAGCAGAAGTCAGGCATAAGGGAACACTGTTTCATTCGATCTGTATCAAATTCTAGACAAAGTGATGGAAATCAGAACAGTGTCTGTGGAGGGGCCGGACGGGCATGGCGCATTCCTGGTGTGGTGGGATCTTCTCCGTCTTGTTCAGGTGTGAGATACACGGGTGTGTGTGTTTGGTAACTCGGCCAACTGTATCCTTACGATTTCTGCATTTCATTTGGAAACCACACTTCAATTAAAAAACAAAAAAAAGATGGCAGAAGACTAACAGTAAAAATGCTGAGTCTATTATTTACTCTCATTGAATGGTACCTGTGTTTTTCTGTCTTTGTTTTCAAAGCCCGTATGTGTTTCAACAATCACTTGGTAAGGGTACGAACACTGTTTTTATTGAATTCAACTCTTAGGCTCGTGGAACGGTATGGTGACGGATTTTATTCCTGCCCACGTGGTTTCCCGTGTCATGATGTTTGAGACAAACCTAGATGGAAATTTTTAATGTAATTTGAAGATTAATCTATAGCATCTGTGGAGTCACAGCGGGTGTAGCGTACCCCTGAATAGCGGGAGTCCCCTAGAACAAAGTGTGGGGACAGGTTGTCTATATTGGGCTCTAGAGCGGTGCCTGGGTGGTGCAGTCCGCAGAGCGTGCAACTCTTGATCCTGGGGTTGTCAGTATGAGTTCCACAGTGGGTGTAGAGATTACTTAAAAAAAAGTAAATCTCGGGGCACCCGGATGGCTCAGTCGGTTGAGCATCCGCCTCTTGATTTCAGCTCAGATCGTTATCCCGGGGCCGTGGGATCGAGCCCCTTTCAGGCTCTGAGCTGAGTGTGGAGCCTGCTTAGAATTCTCTCTCTCTTTCCCTCTCTGTCCCTCCCCTGCTCATGCTCTCTTTCTCTCAAAATAAATAAATAAATAAAAAGACCGTTTACAAGTCTGTCTCCTTCCTTTCTTCCATCCTTCCTTTCAGAAAAGTTTAAAGAAGAAAATCAAAATGGCTCATAATGTTACCATCCAGAAAGTTCATGTTACCGTTTAAAAAATGAGTGGTATATGCTTCTGGTGAAAGAATTCATTTGGTACGTAGTTCTCTCTAAAGATAAAACCCTTTGTTTTTAAAAAAAATTTTAAGTTTTTTTTTTTATTTTTGAGACAGAGAGAGACAGAGCATGAACGGGGAAGGGGCAGAGAGAGAGGCAGACACAGAATCAGAAGCAGGTTCCAGGCTCTGAGCCATCAGCCCAGAGCCCGACGCGGGGCTCGAACTCATGGACGGTGAGATCGTGACCTGAGCTGAAGTCGGACGCTTAACTGACTGAGCCACCCAGGCGCCCCAAGATAAAACCCTTTTAAGTGTAGTATGTCCTTATAGAAAAACTTGTTCAAATAGCAAAATATATAATAATTTATGTAATTCTTGAAAATATTTATTCAAAAAGCCATTTAGTACCCTACTTTGTGGCTTGATTTTTCACTTAGTACATCTTGAAAATGTATTTCTAAATTAGCACATTCATTTTCAGAAATCAGTTTTTTCTTTCATTACATTTGAATTGATGTATTATGTAATTATATACCAATTATGTAATTATGTAATTAGTTCCTTACTGATAACCATTTAGATTATTTTCATTTTTTTAAGTTTATTTATTTTTGACAGAGAGAGAGAGTGTGTGTGTGAGCATGAGCGGGAGAGGGGCAGAGAGAGGAGACACAGAATCTGAAGCAGCTTCCAGGCTCCGAGCCGTCAGCACAGTGCCCGACGCGGGGCTCGAACTCACAAACCGTGAGATCATGACCTGGGCTGAAGTAGGATGCTTCACCAACTGAGCCACCCAGGTGCCCCTTCATTTTTTAATTAAAAATAATACTTTAAAAAACAACTTTGTGCTGGTAAAATGTTATATATAGAAATATTTTTTAAAGATTTTATTTAAAATTTTTAAAAATTGTTTTAATGTTTTGTTTTTGAGAGAGAGAGAGAGAGAGAGAGAGAGAGAGAGAGAGAGAGGGGGAGGAGCAGAGAGAGAGGAGGACACAGAATCTGAAGCAGGCTCCAGGCTCTGTCAGCACAGAGCCCGATACAGGACTTGAACCTAGGAACTGCGAGATCATGACCTGAGCCAAAGTCAGATGCTTAACTCACTGAGCCACCCAGGCACCCCTAAATTTTCTTCTTAATGTTTCTTTTGAGAGAGAGAGAGAAAGTAGGGGAGGGGCAGAAAGAATCCCAAGCAGGCTCCACACTGTCGCCACAGAGCCTGACGCGGGGCTTGAACCATGAGATCGTGACCTGAGCCAAAGTCGAGAGTTGGACACTTAACTGACCGAGCCACCCCGGTGCCCCTCCTAAGCTCTTAAGTAATCTCTACACCCAACATGTGGCTCAAACTCACAACCCTGAGATCAAGAGTCACACACTCCACCGACTGAGCCAGACAGGTGCCCAGATTGACAGTGTTGGGCCCTACTCCTATCTTCCAAGACTGTGGGAGTAGCTGTTTCTTCTCCACCTTGGCGCTATTGATGCTGTAGACGGGATAGTTCTTGGTGTAGGAGGCAGGAGGCTGGGCTGCGCACTGTGGGGTGCTTCCCGGTAACTCTGGCTTCCCCCCACCAGATGCCAGTAGCACTCCCCTCCCCCCCAGGAGGAACAGCCACCTAGTTGTTTCAAGTACAGGGAATCTCCAGATGTGGCCATGTGACCCTCGAGGTACAAGTGCAACATTGCCTGTGGTTGGGGACCATCGACCAGAGAAGCATTGTAGGTTCCCGCGGACGGTTACCGTCGCCTCTGTCCTGACCTAGGAGCTGCCGAAGTCAGATGTCAGTGGTGTGTTCCTCCATGTGTTGGGGTTTGAGTGGATGTAAAACGAGGGGGAGCTTAGGTTACGGGGTATCTCCTAGAGTCCAGGGAGTGCCTCGGAGCTTTATGAGCAGCTGACTTGGTAGCTGTCAGAGACCAACCCCACGCACGTTCTATTAGACTTTCAGCAGCTGTTTGTTGAATGCCACCATCTACCAGATACTACGGTGGACACTGGGTATTTCATGTTGAAAAAAAGGAGATTCTGCTGCTACTTAATGAAGCTTCAGGTGTTGGGATGACACATTCAGCGTGTGTGTGTGTGTGTGTGTGTGTGTGTGTGTGTGTGTGTGTGTAATTACAGGTAGTATTCATGCTGTTCCAGGAAAAGGGCCAGCTGAGAGCATATGAGGGGCTTGGTTCGGCATGGAGACGAACAAGTTGTCACTGAAGGCTTCTGAGCCCGGGCAGGTTCTTACTAGATTTGGGGAAGGGGGCTGCTGAGGGCATTCCAAGTGCAGGGAATTGCAAGTATTTGAAGAGGCAACGTATCAAGGTGGAAAAGATTCAGCTTTTCAGGGAAACAAAGAGATGCCAATTTGATCAGAAAACAAGAAGGAGAAGTGCATTTAAGGGTGGAGAGAGAGTCACGGGCCCGATCACACGTGGCCTTGTAGGTAACCACTTGGGATGGCATTTGCAAGTTGGTGCGGGCGCCTGGGTGACGCAGTCATTCAAGTGACAGACTCTTGATTTCGGCTCAGGTCATGATCTCGCGGCTCGTGAGATCGAGCCCCACCATGGGCTCCACACCGATAGTGCAAGGAGCCTGCTTCTGGTTCTCTCGCTTCCTCTCTCTCTGCTCCTCCCCTTCTCGTACTAGCTCTCTCAAAATAAATAAACTTAAAAATAAAAGAAAAACCCAAAGGGAGTGGGAAGCTAACAAAGGGTTATGAGCAGGCGAGTGGCACCATCTGATTTACACCCCGGTGCGATCACCCTGGCTGCTGTGTGCAGTATGTATTGTGGAGAGGCAAGAAAGGAATTCAGGAGTCCTCATGAGGCGGTGGTAGTGTGGCTATGGCATGATGGGTGATGATATTAGTTGATGACAGGGACATACAGGGAAATGGAGCTTGTGAAGGAATTTTGAAGGAAGCATTAACAAAAACAAGAAACAATTTGAATGTCGGTGGCGAAAATGGGAAAGTGTCCCTGGTCACTTCCAGAATTGTGGGTTGAATGATGGGTTCAGCTGCCATTGCTGAAATGGGCCCACCGGCCGTGGAGTGTCTGTGGGGGAGGGCACAGAAGAACAGGAGTTCAGCTTGAGGTATGTCAGATTTGAGATGCCCCTGCAATATCCTGCGAGATCAAGGGGTAAATACAGCACCCACTGTGGTGTTGAAAATGGAAGTCTGGTACCTAGAGAAGACGGGGTAGCTTGGAAATTAAAGGTTGCGAGCTGTCGGCATGTAGATGCTGATGTTGTCTGGGGAGAGAGTGTATCTCGATGAGAGAATCGGATCCCGGGCTGAGCCCTGAGGAAATCTAACATGTCGAGGTTGGACAGCAGAGAAGCGACAGGCAGAGAAAACAAAGACGCTTGAGAGGTAGGCAGCAGATCGTTCCATGTGATGTCACAGAAGCATGACATGCAATTTTTCCAGGGGCAGGTGGGAGCGATTGTGGTCAGCTGTGCCTAATATTCTGAGAGTCCTCGTAAGGTGGCTGTCTCGATGCCTGCTCCTGACATCTGCATGTAAGGACCCTGATTTCCTCCATACTAGTGGGGAAAAGGCGTTAGGTAGCCGCGCGTGGAGATGGGGACCCAGGCAGGGAGAGGATCTTAGGAAAACTGGTAACCTGTTGGTTTAGCTAAGGCAGCTTTCTTAACTTTTGTGTGTAAGAAACACCGCCCAGAGAAACTGTGCTAATGGTGAACGCTGAGTACAGCTGACACGCCATCAGCTCGTAGGGAATATGCTGCCTGTAGCCACAGGATGCCACCGTGGATGCTTGTCTTATACTCTCTAATCTTACTCTTTTCCTTAGTGGTGGGAAATTGCTTTCTCCTCCCTATGTCAGTGCTGCTCAAGGCACTGCAGATCTGTGTCATTCGTGTCTTCTCCTCACTGCATATGAATATCAGAATTTGAAAATTTATATTTGGAGTGTTTGAGCAATTCTTTTGGACGTCTTTTCCTCCCTCCCTCCCTCCCTCCCTCCCTTCCTTCCTTCCTTCCTTCCTTCCTTCCTTCCTTCCTTTCCAGTTCTTCCCTTTGCCTCATCTTAGGTCTTAGCAAACATACTCATTTTGTTAGTAGTGGCAGGAAGCAGGCAGTTTCCATGGCAACTGACAGACCGGGTTTACTGTGGAAATTTCCGGAATTAACAGAGCTGCATTGCAGAAGGATGCATAAAGCAGTATTCATCTAGAGATGCTAACAGTACGGACACAGAACGGTTGCAGTGGTGTGCAGGGTATGTGTTCTATTTATTTTCCTGTCTTAGGAGGAATGCTAGTTATATATATGCATATGTGCCAAGGAGAGCATTAAAGCAGCTTGAGGCATTTTAGAGTACGTCGGCTTGATAAAATCAAGGCTGCTTACAGGGCAAAAGGAGGAATAAGTAATTTGGAGAGAAAGACATGTTTGATAACGTTGGGAGGAAATCAAGAGTAAGATAAATGAAGGGGAAGGATGTGATCATGAAAGAAGAGGAGAAAACATGCTTCAAGCCTTCAAACATGCCTAATTAGATAATAGAAGGTTCTGGGCACCAGGAGATGTTTATTTATCAAAGGAAAATCTGTAGGCACTGGCACGGGTGGGGGATCAAGTTCTTATGCCCAGGAGGAAGAGATGTGTTCAGGTAATTAGCTGTCATTTTCGGAAGGATACGTAGATAGGAAGGATGCCCAAGGCATGGAGGTCTGCTGCCTCTTTAGTGTACTTATTTACGTGTGTGGCAAGAGAATCAGGGATGGGTTACAGACCCCCAATTCCACTGCCTGTTGATTTGTGTGTGTGTGTGTGTGTGTGTGTGTGTATGTGTGTATAGGGGGGAGGAGGGGCCGTGAGGGTTAAGAAAGAGCCTGAAATGTATCTTGAGCTTAAATTTTGAAAATAAAACTATAAGATTTGGGTGCATTACTGGAGTTTCTTATCTTCCAGAGAATAATTATAAAGTTGAAAGAGGAAGGATATGAAAAACGAGTAGATGTGATAGAGATCGTCTGAATGATAGGTCTCATTTAGTACTCAAACTACAGTTGAGTACTCCCGTAGTACTCAAACTACAGCTCAGGAGCCAAATGTGGCCCTGCTGCTAGTTTTTATAAATAAAGTTTTATTGGAACATAGCCACACCCATTTGGTCGCATAGTTGCTACAGAGAGGGGCTGGCAATACCTAAAATGTTCATCTGTTTCTTTACAGAAGAAGTTTGTTGACTCGTGGTTTAGATGGTGTATTGGATTCCTACGGCTGCTGTAACAAATTGCCACAGACTTGGTAGACTAAAACGACAGAAATTTATTCTCTCGCAGTTTCGGAGGCCAGAAATCCGAAATCAGGGTGTTGGCAAGGTGATGCTTCTTCTACAGGCTTTGGAGGGGATCCTTCCTTCCCTCTTCCAGCCCTGGTACCTCCTGGCATTCCTGGGGTGGAGGTGGCAGGACCCCAGTCGCCTCTGTCCTTGCTTGGATTTCCTCCCTGTGTCTCCCTGTGTCTCTGTCTTCCTGTCTGTCTCTTATAAGGACACTTGCCAATATATTTAGGGCCCACCCAAGTCCAGGATGACCTTTCCTCAAGATCTTTATCTTAATTGTATCTGTAAAGATAAGGTCACCTTCTGAGGTAGATAAATCTGTTGTTGGGGGACCCCAGTTGAGCCCAGTGCATGTGGTATTGGAGAAATGGGTTTTGGGTTCTCAGAGCACGTTTTGTGATAAGAGTAGCTAGCTCCTTAGGGCGCCTGGCTGGCTCATTCGGAAGAACACGCGACTCGTAGTAATCTTGGGGTCGTGAGTTCGAGCCCCACATTGGGTGTAGAAATTACCTAAGTAAAAAAATGACTGACTGGCTCCTGGCAAGTGTCCTCTGGAAACCCGTGGAGCATATGCTTTGTGATAGACGTGACCTGCTGGAGAGGACGTTCCGTTCACTTTTCAAGAACAGAGTGGTGGAGACGTAGTTGAAATCGGAGCAGACAGCCTCTGTGATGCAAAGGGAAGTCGCCGGGCAGAGATAGTCTCAGAATATCTGGGAGAAAAAGTACCCCCACATTTGCGGGAAGCTGACGAAGGGCAGGACCTAGTGCCTCCTATCAGTCTCTCCTTGGCTCCCGCCCCCGAGAAACAACACAGTGGATTTGGCATTTTGGTCCCAGAAGAATCAGAGCTTTGGGGAATTAGAGTCCTGTCCAGATCACGGCAGTGGGGAGTACGTGTGGGTGCTTGAAGATAAGTAGACTTGATTAGCGAGCGGAGGAGCCGCGGCGTGGAGTGGATACGCCGGTGGACAGAGCTGTGAACTGGAGACCGGACTCCGGGTGGGCGGTGTGTGTCGTTGTGGGAGAACGGGAGGTGTTGGCCTGGGCAGGAGAGGTCTGCGGTGTCCCCCTCCTATCAGTAAGCCACGGTGTCCTTGCTCCCGTGGGATGTTTCCTGAGGCAGACTGGGGAGTACTTGGGAACGTTTAAGAAGCGATGCACGCCCATCGTGAAGAATCAGGTCGTAGACGGGAGATTCCAGCCCGGGTGCCCGAGCTGCGGACAGAAGCCTCCTTGTTCTGCGACTTGAGGGACCCTGGCCTGTTGCCTGTATCCTCCCCTGTGCCCCTTCAAAGGAGACCTCTGAGTTTGGCTCGATAGAGGGAATTATCAGAAGAATTAAGCACAAACGGTTAGATATGGACCCACAATAGGGCTCACCAAGAAGAAGTACCAAACTAGCCTAATCTACTTTATTTTTTTTTATTTTTATTTTATTTTATTTTTTTTTAACGTTTTATTTATTTTTGAGACAGAGAGAGACAGAGCATGAACGGGGGAGGGGCAGAGAGAGAGGGAGACACAGAATCCGAAACAGGCTCCAGGCTCTGAGCTGTCAGCACAGAGCCCGACGCGGGGCTCAAACTCACAGACTGTGAGATCATGACCTGAGCTGAAGTCGGACGCTAAACGGACTCAGCCACCCAGGCCTCCCAATTTTTTTTTCTTAATGTTTAGTTTTGGGGAGGAAGGGGCAGAGAGAGGGAGACCTAGAATCCAAAGCAAGCTCCAGGCTCTGAGCTGTCAGCACAGAGCCGGATGTGGGGCTCAAACTCCTAAACCGCGAGATCATGACCTGAGTCGAGGTCGGACGCTTAACCGACTGAGCCACCCAGGGGCCCCGGACTGGGTGTTTCCTGATTTTAGCATATGTGGGTGCTGAGGAAGAGCACTGGACCCAATCCAGGACCTCCAGGCAGGGTTTTCTGAAGGACAAGCCTGGACGATTCTGTTAGTCTGTGACTGTGTGCATCTGAAACCCAAACGGAGATGTCCGGAAGCTGGGGGCATGAAGAATGTTTTCTTCTCTTCTCCTTTCACAGGCTATTTTGTGCATTCACTAGCACACATGTTGAGTTGTGTGCTCTGACTTCTCTTCACAGCAAGATCCAGATTCAACTGTAATTAGATATTTACCTTTTTATTTTTCTGTAGGCACCTAGAGTATACATAAGGAAGTAGAGTGAGTTAAGGTCTACAGCCTAGACTGGTATTAAATTAAGCTGGTTTGATCACAATTCACACAAGCTAAAATGTAAGCACTGTAGGAGGTTCAAAAATACCCTCTGTTTCAAGTAGGTATATTATATAAAATAGCCTGTGTTCCTAAGTGTGTCTGTTGATAAATCTTTAGATTGTGTCTGTAGATAAATCTATAAAATCTTTTTTTTTTTTTTCCTCATTGACTAGTTTGGGTAAATGCCCACCCTGCCCCAGAATAATAAAGGTGAGCTTGAGAATGTTCCATAGTTTACAAGACAGTTCACACAGCTAGCTACAGGTTATGAATGAAAAGGGATTAAGATTCTTGGTCCTTCGTTACTTGCTTCAGGAACTAATGTTCTGACTTCGTAAAAGCAATTTCAGATTTGTAGGAGAAGCAGCATCCTGCTAAACTATTTATTAAGAAACAAGGATGGATATATGAAACACAGAAAATTAAGACAATCCCACGTGGAGTCTCTATAGGAATCAAGAAGAGATTTACCGAGGATTTCTCTTAGGGCATTCCTGCAGACCGCAGGAGAAAATGTGGCCTCTTCTGAACCATTAGTTTAAGAGACAGAGTGCCTCCCCCACCCCAAGGCCTTCCCCCCCTGACTAGCAAGTCCCAGAAAATAACGGGAGGGAGGCCAGATGGATGTAGGTACATTTCATCTGGGCAGCGTGGACGCAGAGAAGGGTGGTGGTAGCAAAATAGACTGAGGATTATATTCTTAGATTTGCTGCTGTCCGTTGAAGAGTATGGAATTCGAGGACAAGGACATCAAGAGAGAATTTGCCTCTGGAGCAGTGTGTGCTCTGATTGGGAATACCCTGAGCCCCGGGGCCTTGAACTACAGACAGGGTTTGAACATATAGACACGGGATGGACAAATCCCTTTCCCACAAGGAGAGTGAGGCTCAAAGACAGTCTCTTTCTCTCTTTCCCATCAATCTTACTTAGGTATAGTTGACATATAATAAACTGTATGTAGTGAAAGTGTACAGTTTGGGAAGTTTTGACGTGCGTATACCCTGTGAAAGCACCACTCCAGGCAGGTTAGTGAACATACCTACCACCCCCAAAGTTTCCTCCTGACCTGTTCTAGCTTTTCTGTCTAGACGTTTGGTTTCGTTGCTTTTTGTATATCCCACATCTGTCTGATGTATTCGTCTGCCCTTCAGTTTCTCGAACACACACCATAGAGTCGTAAGCACAGTTTCATTGTCTTTGCTAATTCTGGCATCTTTGCCATTTCTGACTCAGTTAGAATTGGTTGATCTTTCTCTTCATTTTGGGCCATCTTATTTTGCTTCTCTGCATCCTTGCTGAGTTTTAGATTGCAGGCCGGACTTTGGGTGCCAGGTGTTTTTGCATTCCTACGAATCTTTGGTTAAGTTACTTGGAAACAGCTGGATCCTGTTGACTCTTGCTTACCAGCTTTGGTGGGTGTTCTGAGTACCGCTCCAGCCTGGGCATTGTTCCCTCTAATCCTTTTGGGGGGTTCTTTCCCCAGGCGAGTGTAGGGTCTTTGTAAGAGCGTGCTGTCCAAGGAGGGCTCCGTGCCTATCTGTGGGGTTCTCTTTCTGTGCAGCGCTCTCTTATCCCAGAACTCTGCTTCTTAGACTCTGGCTACCTTGGTCTCCTCAGACACCTAGATCTGTCTGCTCAACACCAGGATACTGCCAGGAGGTGCCTCGGTCCCCCTGGTCCCCCGTCCCCTCGCAGTGTGTGGACCCCTCCAGACCGGAAGCTGGGGACAGCCGTAGGCTCACCGTGTGTATTTCTTGCCTCAGTGTTCACTGTCCTTTGATGCCTGACGTCCAGTGTCTTCAAGACCATCTCAGACTTTGTCTGTTTTTTTACTTGTTTCAAGTGTGAGAGTAAGTCTGTGTCCCTGATGCTCCACAGTGGCCCAAGCGTGAGTGCCACACGTATCCTCCCTGTGAGACGGGAGCAAGCATTCTGGAACTAGGAAGCAATGTCTTCTTGACTTTGAGAAAGCACCTCTGAACGCGGCACCTTACGGCATTCTTAATACAGTAGAAGACATCATGATGTTTATAAAAAAGGATCAGCAAATTTTTTTTTTTAAGTTTATTTTTGAGAGAGAGAAAAAGTGAGAGTGGGGAGAGACAGAAAGCGAGAGAATCCCAAGCAGGCGCCACACTGTCAGCACAGAGCCCGACACGGGGCTCAAACCCACGAACTGTGGAGCATCATGACCTGAGCCGAGGTTGGACGCTTAACCATCTGAGCCACCCTGGTGTCCCCAGCAAATCTCGAGGGGAGAGCAAATTTGGATAAATAGGGAACAGGATTATTGATTAGGTGATAGGTGAGAAAATAAGGCATTGGCAGGAAGCTGGAAAGGCAATGGTGGAAGGAAGTCCATTTTGCACGTGGAAGTGAACTTGAATGATACTGCGTGGCAGAGTGAAATGGCACGATCGACTTGAGAGCATGCACGTTTCTGAATGTTTTACAGGTATAAATTCATAAATAGAATGGGAAGGTAAACACACTCTGGAGAAATATTTACAGCACAGGACCAAGAGTCAGTCGATAAGTTAATAACATATACTAATAACTCTTAGCAGAAGCAGCAGCAGGAAAACAAAGCTTTGGCAGGAGGGCTCAGGGGTGTTCTCCCAGGGACTTAACCAAGGAAGAGACACTTGCTCGCCAAGTGGCAAAAAAAAAAAAGTCCAACTCTAAGAGTAAGAAACCAAACTGCGGCTTAAAAGAGTGATCTCACCCCTGATCACCTTTTAGGTGGGCGTGAGGGAAAAGGGCGCTGTGGACGGGGCTCTGTGGGCACTCGCTTAACAGTTTAGCCTATACCCTTTACGTTTGTCCGAGTACTTATCCTGCTGCCGAATTAGCACAGAAGGGTGCCCTCTGGATTTAGCAGAGGGTAGGGGTGGAAGATGAACTAGAGACATCCCAGGTAGCCGTGGCCGTGCTGGCTATATTTCTCCAAAGAACAAGTCCACCCACCTATGTGCAAAGCCGGGCAGCTTTATTGGACGCTTTAGATAGAAATAAAGCTTTTCCCAGTGTCCAGTCTCAGGAATGCTCTGGAACATCATGTCACAGTTTTTTATTTTTTGGGGGGGGGGGGAGGGGAATCTGTAGGATTTTAGAAACTTGTACACATCAGTCCGAATCAGTGAAAGGATGGTAGTGAAAACGCGGTAGTGATGATTCAGTGTTCAGTAAGTAGTGAAAAGACAAAGTGGTCATTTCTGTCCAGAGGGTCGGTGATCAAAGAGGGTACACTAAAGGACTTCACTGCAAACATGTGGGCTCAGAAATGACAGCTTTCAGATTTTCATGTAACAAGATGTCCCCCTTATTTCAAAAAATAATTTTCTTATATCGCATTTGCGTCTTAATAAGGTCTGTATTGCGTGGATTCATTCTACCCATCATTTTGCATGTTTTGTAAAAGAAAACACACATATTCTACTTATTTGTGATGCCCACAGTATCTGTGTCGGTTTCTCTCTCTCTCTGTGTATGTGTGTGTGTGTGTGTGTGTGTGTGTGTGTATGTGTATGTCTGTCTGTCTGTCTGGGCATGTTTGCCCTAGAGGTTGAAACTGCTAGTCGCTGGGAACAGGGATGATTAGGGCTGGCTGTAAGAAATGAGGGATGCCAGAGTTAAGGACTTTATTCAGGGAAGTGTTCTTGGCCTGTTTGTAACTGGTCTGTGGATTTGAAACCATTTTAGCATCATTGACCCTCAGCCACTAAGTGCTCATAGCACTTCCCAGTCATTGTCGTGACCAGACTTCCACCTGTTCCCTCCCTCTTCACCACTGCCAGATGCTAGGGACCTCCTCCCGTGACAATCACTGGGAAATAAGATGTCCTTGGGGGCTGCATTAACCGGAAATGAGTTTGCATATCAACAGCATCAGTGGTGAGGACAGATAGCAGCTTAAGTAAGACAGTTTATTTCTCCTTCTGGAGATGTTGTCTGGAGATAGGTAGGCGTAGGGTTGGTGAAATGGCTTCATGGTCATCAGAGTCTAGAGAGCCGTAATTTTCTTCTCCCTCATTCTCAGTACATGGTTTCTATTCTCAAGGGACTTGAGGGTGATTGGAACTCCAGTCCTCACCAGTATTCCAGGCAACAAGAACCAGAAGGGGGAGAAAGAGAAGAAAAAACCCATGACCTTCCTTCTGGCTGAGTCACCTCCTTTTATCTATTTATTTTTGGGACACACAGAGAGAGAGAGAGACAGAGAGAGAGAGAGCACAGCAGGGGAGGGGCAGAGAGAGAGAGAGAGAGGGAGACACAGAATCTGAAACATGCTCCAGGCTCTGAGCTGTCAGCACGGAGCCTGATGTGGGGCTCGAACTCACGAACTGCGAGATCATGCCCTGAGCCGACTGAGCCCCCAGGCGCCCGAGCTCAGCTCCTTTCAAATACTGCATTCATCCTACTGCCTCTAACCACAAGGAAGTTTGCCTTCTCCATCCGCTCGGGCCATCATAACAAAATACTACAGCTTGGGTGGCTCCAACAACAGAAGCCTATTGCTGGCAGTTCTGGAGGCCGGGAAGATCAAGGTGCCGACCAGGTAGGTTTCGTCCCGAGGATTCTTCCCTTGGCTCGTTGGTGGCCGCCATCTTGCTCTGTGACCTCTGCTTTGTGCAAGCGTGAGGGTGGGGGAGAGCCTGTCTCCGCTGGGGTCCTTCTAAGAAGGACACTAGTCCCATCCGATCAGGGCTCCACCCTTATGACCTCGTTTAAACATAATTATCTCCTTGTAGGCCCTGTCTCCAATACAGTCACGCTGGGGGTTAGGGCTTTGACGTGAATTTTGGCGGGAAAGGGGGGAGGGGGAGCGCAGGTGATTCCATAGCAGTTGGGAAGTGTAGCGTTTTAGCTGCGTGTAGTGTTTCCCCGAATAAAGAAGACCTTATCGAGAAGAGGAGGGCAGGTGTTGGCTGGCAGCTGGCGGTAATTGCCACGGGGGGCGGGCCGAGGCTGCTGGCTCAGTTCCCCGGATGGGTCATCAGGTGCTTGAAGGCGGAATCCTATGGAGGATTCACTGAAAGCAGCTAAGGATACTCTGTAGAAAATCATCCACAGAGAAGTGGGAAAATGAGAGAGATTTGGAAGTCATTGCTGATAAAACACAGTCCCTTAGTCTCAAGAAAGCGGTATTCCAGGAAAAGTCAGGAAACCTTTCTTCCCCTTAGGAGTGTAGCTTAGGAGTCAGGAAACCTTTTCTCTCCATGAGTGTGTTTTCTGCTATTTATATAT